ATACTTTTAAAAAGTTAAAAATAGAACTACTCTATGATCCAGCAATCACACTCCTAGGTATTTACCCAAAGAATACAAAAATACAATTCAAAGGGATACATGCACCCCGATGTTTATAGAAGCATTATCCACAATAGCCAAATTATGGAAACAGCCCAGTGTCCGTTAATTGATAAACAACCACCTCTTCTTTAGAGGTGGTTATATGCAATGGAATATTACTCAGCCATAAAAAAGAATGAAGTCTTGCCATTTGCAATGACATGGATGGAGCTAGAGAGTACTGAGTGAAATAAGTCAGAAAAAGACAAATACCGTATGAGTTCACTCATATGTGGAATTTAAGAGACAAAATGAATGAGCAAAGGGGAAAAGAGAGAGAGAGGCAAACCAAGAAGTAGACTTTTAACTATAGAGAACAAATTGATGGTTACCAGAGAGGAGGTAGGTGGGAGGATGGGTGAAATAGGTGAGACAATTAAGGAGTGCACTTGTGATGAGCACTGGGTATTGTATGTGTTAAACCACTAAATTGTACACCTGAAACTAATATTACACTGTATGTTAACTAGCTGGAATTTAAATAAAAACTGAAAAATAATCCACCTATTGGTCAAGGGCACTATATACTACATCATACCTGCAACCTTCAGACAACACACACACATACACACACACTCTGGGGTTACCGGATAAAGTAGGGGCCACCAAGTTAAACTTGAATTTCAGATCCTGGTGAATGTTTTAGTATAAGATGTCCCAAACATTGCACTGGCACATACTTATCCTAAAAAAGATTACTTGTCGTTAATCCGATACTCAAATTTAACAGGACATCCTGTATTTTTATTTGCTAAATCTAGCAACCCTATCCTATTCGCCTTCAGAATCTCCATCCTGTAAGCTCACCACGGGACTCTGCTTAAACCTGTAGGCTGTGTCACAGTTGTCCTGATCTGAGAGCCTTCCTTCCAGGCTGCCCCGCTAGACTGAAAACTCTCTGAGGGGAAGGCCCAGGCCTTGACCACCACCTATGGGCCTCTGTTACAGGCAAGGACGCTCCTTATGAATGTACACAACGGCATCAGTGGAGAAGGGGCACCTACAGGATAAAACATACGTTATAACTCTATGCCCGAATGGAGGCCCTTGGCGGAGGGTAGGCAAAGGCCGCCTTTTATTGACTGGCCTGCACAAAGGTGCGCCTGTTTCTAATTGGCTCGCCTGAGAGGACTGCCCCCTTTTCATTGGTTGGGTGGGGAAGTGGGCGTGGCCTGTTCCAATTTTTTTAGCTCACGGAACTTCTCTAAGTCCACTGAAAGAGGTGCCTGTTTAAAATTTTAAAACTCTGATGGAGAGTGCCACCTTTTTTTGAAGTAACACAAAAACCTTCTGTGTACTACTAAGGCTTTAAGTCTTAGGATAAGAAGTCATTACATTTGCTTAGCACTTTAGACATTCCAAATTACACATATCAACTCCTGGAATCGCCACAACAGTCCCCTTGGTGGTGGGTAACATTGGGCCATTTGCATTTCACAGATTAGCAAATTGAGACTAGAAGAGCAGCAACCTGCTCGCTGTTACTCAGGCAGATAATAAAGACAGTTTATTTGTGTTTAGTGCGAGTTTAGCGAAGGCTCTCCACAAATCGCTTCGCTCCACCTTCAATACAGACTATGTGAAATATAAAGCGCAAAGCACTTTACTCTTGTTTTTTAAAATCTTCATGCGACTCTGGGAACTAAACATCACTTTGCTCTCATTTTATTGATGAGGAAACTGGCACTCGAAAGTAGTTAAATCCTTTGCCAAAAGTCACAAAGCTGCACTCTGCTATTTATTTATCGGGTACTGCACGATGTCAGGCAGTGCTCAGTTACTTACAGATCTTATTCGCTCATTAAATGCTCCCTACAACCACATGACATTGGTATTCTCATTATCGCCATTTACTGATGAGAAAAATATGTTCAGAGAGGGTGAGTGACTTGCCCATGACCACGCAGACAGCAAGTTAGTTAAGGCAGGATTCACACGACTAGCAAAGAATCAGATCTGGAACTCAAACCCAATTATTCTGATCCCAGCCCAGGGCTCCTTCTCTCCTAGCCCAGAATCTCGCTCCCTGCCAGCCTGACTGAAATAATCAGTGACCCTCTGGTAGGCCAGGACACCACCGCCCCGCCCCCGCTTGATCGAAGTCTTAGGGTAGCTACAGTCTCCAGAAGACCCCTCTTCCCCCGCCCTCCCCGGAGAGTTCGGATCAACTGGAGGTGGCTGGAGAGAGAACGGGTGGGCAGGGCGGCGGCGGGCACCAGGCCAGGCTCTGCAGCCGGAGGAAGAGGCTCCGGGACTGCGGCGCGTTCCAGCGGCGGAGCGGAGTGGGTGGGGCCGGAGTGCCCGGCCCCCGCCCCTCCTCCCTCCCTTCCTCCCTTGCCTTCCAGGTCCCCCGCCGGCGACCCGCCGGCAGGCACTGCCTGGTCTGCACCACTTGGGGCCGGATCCCCGCGAAGCGGCCAGAGGGGCGGCCCGGCGCACCGAGCCGGGGCCCCAGCGCGCCCCTAGGCCCTCCCTCCTCCGCGTGGGGGCGGCGCAGAGCTGGAGCATCCGCGGGGTCCCGGGCACCACTGACCGCCTCGGGCAGCCGCGCGCTCAGCGGCTCCCCACTTGCCCGCGCCCCGTGGCGGGGGCGGCGGCGAGATGGCGGCGCGTGTCGGCCTCCTGCTGCGCGCCCTGCCGCTGCTGCTGTGGGGCGGCCTGGACGCCCAGCTCGCCGAGCGCGGAGGCCAGGAGCTGCGCAGGGAAGCGGAGGTAAAGGATGTGTGCAGGGCGGAAAGGGAGCCGCGGGCTAGAGACCCCCCAGAACTTTGCAGTCAGGTCACCCAGCCGTCCCATCTGAGCCGGCAATCTGCACTACCCTCCCAGTGTCCGCGCTCTACACACTTGGACACAAAGAGTCTGGGGAACATTCTCCCCCGTGCCACGGCTGGGACCACCCAGGCACGCGGATCTGCATTGATTTTCCCGGACAGGGGAAGGAGGGAGCGACAAGATGGGACAGGCGGGCAACAACAGAGAGAGAAGTGGCCTCTGCACCCTAGTTTGACACGGACCTACTGCCCCTCACCGCCTAGGCTGGGGAGACTTGGCCATTCATTCATCCGATGCCCCGAGCCTTCCCAGAGGCTGCAAAGCCCCCCAGATTGGTGAGGTGGAGAGAGTACCGCTGACTGGCCAGGGACACAGGAGACAACACTGGCTTCCTGGGCTGGTGCTGCCAGTGAGCCAGCGGCTTGTCAGCGCCCAAGCTCGGGACTAGTTTCATAACCTGTAAAATGGGTAAGAATATTATATATAGTCTCAAGGATTGCTTCTAAGGAGCTTTGGAACAGTGCTTCAGGACCGAATTTGACAAAGGGGGCAGAGAGTTGGAGGTGAACCTTAAACACTTCCCATTTCACTTTCCTCCTTTTGGAATTCAGCTGCTTGCTGTAGATTGCACAAGGGGAACTTTTTGAAGGCAGGGGTGGGGCTCCACTTGGGGTATCTATTTTCCAGATAAAGGTGATTGTAATAATACATCAGTATCCATCTCTGTCTGTATTCGCAAGATTAGAACTGGGGTCTCCACTATTTTAAGAAGTTCTAATTTTTATTTATTTATTTATTTATTTATTTATTTATTTATTTTTGAGAGCGAGAACGTGCCTAACACTGGCGGGCAGGGGGGGAGGCAGGAGAGAGATCTCAAGCAGGGTCCACTCGGGGCTTGATCTCATGAACCCAAGATCATGACCTGAACCAAAACCAAGAGTCCATCGCTTAACGGACTGAGCCACCCAGGCGCCCCAAGGAGAAGTTCCAAGTTCTTGAGCCCAGTGCTCTGCCCTGAGACTCTTGCTCCCTAAGAGCTTCTTTCCTGTTCTGAAACTGCCAGCCAAGAAATTCTCAGTACCTCCCATTCCTCTTCCTAAGAAGAGGCATGCTGAATCTAGTAAACCTACAGAATGAAGAGGCCCCCATTGAATGGCTCTTCATCCCATCAGCCAGCTCCCATCACTATTCTGGAATATTTGGAAATTACCTTATTTCAACAAGGGGGTCCTGTGTCAAACTCCTTCACCTGCTCCCCTTCCAAGCACTGGTCTCTTGTTCTGTGCTCTCTGCTTTTGCATGTTTGGGAATCACTGTGTTTCACTGAATTTTGAAACTTACAACATCAAGTGCACAGTTCTCATGGCCCCGGGAGAAGGTTTCTGTCTACCAAGCCAAGTCCTATTAAGAGTCCCGCCCCACCTCCCCCAAAGTCTGGGTCCCAGACAATCCTTGGCAGGAGAACAGAGACAATATCTCTGCCGCCCATGCCTGTGGTGGCCCCAGATGGAGAGAATTTTATCTTGGGGTGTGCTTGGGAAGCATAATACTAAGCAGATTGGGTCTCTTGCAGTCTATTTAACATAAATTGGGGGAAGGGGATTTTTACCTCGGAGAACAAGAAATATTTTAAATGTATAAAAAATCCTGGAAAAGTGTAATGGGTGTGTATGCATCTTTATATGCCTAGGCATGTACATATGTATGTATATATAATGCAGATTGGGGGGTGTGAGTGTGTCTGTATGAGCTTCTGTATATGGTCAATTGCATCAGCTTCAGTGTCAGACAGACCTGTGTGCAAACCATAAGTGAATCATTTAATCTCTATGAAGTTTTCTTCTCTGTACAGAGGAGGTTAATAATAAATGCCTATTTCGTAAGACTGCTATGCGGCTTCGTTGAGATAATGTATATAAAATGATCAACACAATGCCCAGTCCATAGAAAGCAGTCTATAAAAGGAAGTTGCTTTCTTTTTTTTTTTTTTTAATTTTTTTTTTCAACGTTTATTTATTTTTGGGACAGAGAGAGACAGAGCATGAACGGGGGAGGGGCAGAGAGAGAGGGAGACACAGAATCGGAAACAGGCTCCAGGCTCTGAGCCATCAGCCCAGAGCCCGACGCGGGGCTCGAACTCACGGACTGCGAGATCGTGACCTGGCTGAAGTCGGACGCTTAACCGACTGCGCCACCCAGGCGCCCCAAGGAAGTTGCTTTCAATATTGTTGCTGTTATTATTTATCTTTATCATCATTTTAGAGAACAGATTAAAGTCCTGGCTTGGTGACTTAGCTCTCCTAGAACAATAACACAGGGCAAAATATGTGAGGCAACTATTTTCAGCATCGGACAAGAGGCAGCACAGGGCTATAATTCCTAAGAGATGGTGTTGCAGTTACTATGGCTACATTATAAATGACCCCAGAACTTAGTAAAGTCAAACAAACATTTATTAGGTTCATAGATACTGTGGGTCAGAATTTCAAACAGGGCACATAAGAGCAGCTTGTCTCTGCTCTACAATGTCTGAGGATGGGATCATCTGAAGGCTCGCTGGCTGTCAGCTGGGGGCCACGATTTTCTCCTATGGGCCCATCCACATGGTTTCTCCATGTGGGCTGGTTTGGGCCCAAATGTGGTGGCTGGGTCTCCAGGATGAGTGTGCTGAGAGACAGAGAGAGGGCAGAAGTCCTATCCTCTTTATGACTGAGACTAGGAAGTTGCACAGCATTGCTTCTGCTGCACCCCATCGATCGGCTGGAGCAGTCACAAGCTCCAGATCAAGGGGAAGGAACACAGACTGGTGGCAGGAGTGTTGAAGTCATTGTAAGAAGAGCATGGGAATGTGCTTATTGTTGTGGTCACTTGGGGAAATACAACCATCCACAGAAGGGAACCACACAAAGTGAGCCCCGTGATCACCCTGGCTCTTTGCTCAGGTATAATTCCCTGACTGCGGTACAGAGCTAGACCCCCAAGCAAAGCACGGCACTCCTGCTGAGCTTGTGGGCAAAGTTCAGAATTCAGGACAGAGAAGGAAAGAAAGAATAAAAACCAGCTGTGTGATCTTGAGCTAGTCCCCTCACTTCTCCAGGCTACAGTTTCCTCCTTTGTTAAAATGAGGGAGTAAAATTTCTTAAATGACTCTCCCAGAGCTAACATTCTTTGGCTTTGGTGTGTTTGTGTGCCAGTGCCTGTATGGGTGCGTGAGTGTGTGTCCATTTCATCTGCCTGTGTGTCCGTGTCTGTCTGTGTGCATGTGTCTGCATTCCCATTCCCATGTCTCCGTGTTTATCCCTGCGTCCTGTGTGCATGGCTGTATGTGTCCCTTGTATGCATACAAAGTAATAAAGTCGAGGGTTTTCCAAAGTGGGCTTTGCCTAGGAGGAGACTGACCTCTCACAAAGCTACATTATGAACAAGTTCATTGTTGCCCACTTGGGAAAACTAGGGCTGCTTACGAGACACTAGTGAGCAGAAAGGGCCTCCACTGCTGAGTTGCAGGATTGAGAGTTAATGAATGACCTCATCACCTCGGACCCCCTCCTGATCCCAATCAGGCCCTACTCTGTTTTTGGGTGACACAGACTGTCCCAAGGGATCTACCTACTGTGCTGTGCTTGGACCTTCTTTAAAACACCCAGGTGGTATGTCCAAGACCTGCCTTCCGCTTGGTGGTCTATGCATATCTGCATAGCTACTCCCATTGTGTCAGTACAATAAGGAGCTGGCTAGTTCATTTCTCCAGGGAAACATTGGAGCTTCTGTGGAGTCTCCACCCCCAGATGCAGTGTCTGTTTCTCATACCCCAGAGCTATTCATTTGGCTTTTTGTGAGTCAGAAGCCCAGAACCCCGGGCGTGGAAGCCATTCCTCAGCTCAGCTCAGTGACTCATGGGTGCAGGGTAAATAGAGGCTCTCAAGGGTCCCAGAGAACCATGAGTTGGTGGAAAAGCAGTAGTCAAAACAGTAGAAAACCAAGAAATCGAGCAAAAGCTGGGTGGTGGAAGCAGGAACATAGCAGCAAGATAGGTGGACAACTCTGGTTAGAGCATGATTTCATGCCCTAAATTTAGCCCTGCAATCCTAGTGAGGACCATTCAGTATGATTATTTGGCGTTAGAAGAAGTACAAGAGGGGTCTGGGTGGAGACTGACCAGCTAATTTTTTCCAACTTCCTTAAGGATGCAAAATGAAAGAAGCGGGGAATACAGCAAGAGATATCAAAGCTACTCCCAGACAGAACTTTGTGAATATGAGACTAGGGACAAGGGAAAGGGGGGGGAGAGGCAGGGAGTCAGAGGGAAGGGGAGACTTTGCCCAAAATAAAGGGAAAGGGTCTGAGCTGGTCCTGCTGCCCTGGGGCCTTCCGTAGATTCCAGGAGCCAGAGAACAAAGGCAAAGCATCCCGGAAACATGTTTGTCTTTGGGAAGGAACATGCTTGAGTCCTGATGAATGAATACCTGTAGCTTGTCAGAAGACCTCTTTGGGGTGTGATGGGAGATGTGATCCCAGCTTCTATTGAAAGCCAGAGTCCACCACCTAAACATCTTCTTTTCCTCTCCTCTGCCCCTGAACCTGCTTGCAGAAGAGGTGGGAGGAATCCAGCTAGAAACATCCCCAGCTTTTCCTTTTTCTCATTTAAGAATTGTCTCCCCAGTGGAGACAGCAGGTTGGAAGCTTTGCCTTCAGTTTTAAAGCTACTGAGTCACTTGTTTGAACGTCAAATAAGACATCCAGGGATAGGTAGAGAGGATCTGAACTCACTTAGGATCCTTTAGCAAGGCACTGCTTGCTCTCCTGAGACTTTCTTTCCCCATCTTTAACATGGGATTAGCAACACCCATCCTGCCTATGTTCTTGCAAGGTGATTCTGAAACTCAAAGGTGGAAACCCCTTAAAAGCTCTGCACTAGTCAAGGACTCACTGTGTTC